AGTTTCAGGATACAAAAGTAATGCATGAAAATTAGTTGCATTTCTATACACCAACAATGCTCAAGCTGAGAACCAAATCAAGTACTCATTCCCATTTACAGTAGCCTAAAATATTAAAATACCTAGGAATATATTTAACTAACGAGGTGAAAGACTTCTACAAGGAGAACCACAAAACACTGATGAAACAAATTGTAGATGACATGAACAAATAGGTAAACATCTCATTCTCATGGATAAGAAGAATCAATATTGTTAAAATGACTATACTGCCAAAAGCAATCTACAGATTCAACACAATTCCTATCAAGTTGCCAACATCATTTTTTTACCGAATTAGAAAGACAATTCTAAAATTCATTTAAAACCAAAAAATAGCCCAAATAGCCAAAGCAACCCTAAGCACAAAGAGCAAAGCCAGAGGCATCACATTACCTGACTTCAAACTATACCTCTCAAGTCTATAGTAACTACAATAGCATGCTAGTGGTACAAAAATAGACACATAGATCAATGGAACAGAATAGGTAACCCAGAAATAAAGCCACACACCTACAACTAACTGATCTTTGGCAAAGTCAACACAAATATACACTGGGAAAAGGACACCCTATTCAATAAATGGTGCTGGGAAAATTAGACAGCTATATGCAGAAGAGACTGGACTCTTATTTCTCACCATATACAAAAATTAATTCCAGATGAGTTAATGATCTAAATGTAAGGCAAGAAACTATAAAAATATTAGAGGAAAAACTCTTCTGGATTATTGGCCTAGGCGAACTCCACAATCAACTCCTCAAAAGCAAACACAACAAAAAAGAAAACAGACAAATGGGACTTCATTAAACTAAAGAGCTTCTGCACAGAAAAAAAAAAAAATCAATGAGTAAACAAACAACCTACAGAATGGAATAAAATGTTTGCCATCTATGCATCCAACTAAGGACTAATATCCAGAATCAATAACGTACTTAAGCAAATCAACACGAAAAAAATAAATAACCTTATTTAAAAGTGGGCAAAGGACATGAACAGACACTTCTTAAAACAAGACATAAAAGTGGGCAACAAACAAGAAAAGAATGAATGCTCAATATCACCAGTCATCAGAGAATGCAATGAGATACCATATCACACGAGTCAGAATGGCTATTACCAAAATTTTAAAAAATAACAGATGTTGATGAGGATACCAAGAAAAAGGAACATTTATACCCTGTTGGTGGGAATGTAAATTAGCTCAGCCTCTATGGAAAACAGTACGGAGATGTTTCCAAGAACTATAAATAGAACTACCATTCAACCCAGCAATCCTTCTACTGGGTGTCTACCCAAAGGAAAGGAAATAATTATACCAAAAATATACTTGTACTTGTATGTTTATTACAGCACTATTCACAAGAGCAAAATCATGGAATTAATCTAAGTGTCCATCAATGGTTGAATGCATAAAGAAAATGTGATTTATATGCAGCATTAAATACTCTACAGCCATAAACAATAATGAAATCCTGTCTTTTGCAGCAATATGTATGCAACCAGAGGTAAGTATCGTAAGTGAAATAACTCATAGAAAGTCAAACACTGCATACTTCCATTTATAGGTGGGAACTAAACAATGGGTACATACAGACATAAAGATAAAAATAGTAGACACTGGGAACTCCTAAAGGGGAGAGTATGGGAGGGAGACAAGGTTTGAAATACTACCTATTGGGTACTATGTTCACTATTTGAGTGATGGGTTCATCTGAAGCCAAAACCTCAGCATTACCCGTGTAACAAATCTCCACATATACCCCTTGAATCTAAAATAAAATAACTAAATAAACAAACTGTGTGTGTTCGGCTGGTTCTTGCGTTGCTATAAAGAAATACCTAAGGCTGGGTAATTTATAAATAAAATAGGTTTAATTAACTCACAATTCTGCAGGATGTACACAAAGCATGGCATTGGCATTGCTCATCTTCTGGTAAGGCCTTGGTCTGCTTACAATCATGGCAGAAGGCAAAGTGGGAGCAGGCATGTCACATGGCAAGAGCAGGGAGCAAGAGAGAGTGAGAGGGAGTACCACACATTTTTTGAACAATAGGACCTAGGGAGAACTCACTCACTATCATGAGGACAACACCAAAGGGATGGTGCTAAACTATTAATGAGAAATCCACCCCCATGATCCAATCACCTCCCACCAGGTCACACCTCCAGGATTGGGGATTACAGTTCAACATGAAATTTGGCAGGACAAATATCCACACTATATCATCACTACAACAACAACAAAATGGTCAGAATCCTCCAATGTCTTCGATGTCATTCAGAGTAACAGCCAAGGTCCATACAACAACCAGGCAGAACATACCTAAGCAGACTCTCCTGCTACCTATTTTTATTCATCACCTAATACTCTCCTTCCCACTACTTCTACTCCAGTCTTTCTAGGCTTTTTGTGGTCTCTCAAGCCAACAAATACGTCCTCATCTCAGAGCCTTTGCATTGACTATTTTTTTTTTCTGCCAAGTCCCCTCTTCCTAAAACCATTTTTATGGCTCAACTCCTCTCTTTATTCTAGTTTTTGGTAAAACACCACCTTTACCAGTAATGCTAATACTCATTGCTTGGATAAAACATACATACTGTAGTTGGCTGATAATGGCCCCCAGGATATGGTCATGTCTTAACCCCTGGAACCTGTGAATATTACCTTATTTAGAAAAAAGGTCTTTGAAAGTGATTAACTCAAGGATCTTGATTTTGGATTATTCTAGATTATACCAGTGGGCCTTAAATGCCATCACAAGTGTTTTTATAATAGAGAGGCAAAGAGAGATCAGACACCCAACAGAGAACAAGGTGATATGGAGATGAAGACAAAGATTGAACTAAAGCGGCCTCAAGCCAAAGAATGCCAACAGCTACCAGAAGCTGGAAGAGCCAAGGAACAGTTTCTAGCCCTAGAGCTGCGGGTGTGAGTGTGGTCCTACTGAAAACTTGATTTCAGACTTCTGGCCTCCAGCAATGTATAAGAATAAACTTCTGTTGTTTTAAGATACCAAGCTTGTGTGATTTGTTAAAGCAATAATAGGAAACTACTACACATATCAAACACCTAGCCTCTTTACCTTCCTTTGTTTTATTCCATAGAATCTCTTTATCTCCCATAATATGCAATTGCTTTTGTTTGTGGTTTTAAATCACATGCTGCTAGAATGTAAGCACCATAATGACAAGAACATTTTGTGCAGTACCCCATTCTAGAACAATGCCTGGGACATAGTTCTCAATGATTACTTGAGAGAGGGAGCAAAGAGAGGAAGAGAGGGTGGAAGGGAGGGACAAGGGAGGAAGAATTCAGTCTTGAATTTTTCCAGGTGGAAGAGGGATAGCACTCTATGGCAAGGAGGATGTGTCCTGTTCTTAGTACTCTCATTATAAGGGCAGGATAATTAAGTATAGTTGGAGGAAATCACCAATGATAGCGAAGGGAGTAGTACACTAATGTGCAAAATGTGATTGTAGGAGCTAGACATCTCTAATTTAGAGAAGATAATTCTTGGTCTAAGTGTGGCAAATAAATTACAATGCAAACGGACCAATGATTAAAAGCTTTGTCAAAGTGTATTCTATCATAGAAATGGGGAGTAGAATGTTGTTTACCAGAGGCTGGGGTCAAAGGGATGAGGAAAGGGGACACGTTGGTCAAAAGGGTACAAAGTTTCAGTTAGACTGGAGGAATAAGTTTTAGTGATCCGTTGGACTGCATGATGATCATAGTAATAACATTGTATGTTTCAAAATTGCTAAAAGAAGAGTTTTCAAATGTTCTTGCTGCAAAAAAAATAAGTAGATGAGGTGATGGATATGTTAATTAGTTTGACGATTCCACAAGGTGTATATATATATCAAAACATTACATTCTACCCCATAAGTATATACAATTATTATTGTCAATTAAATTTCTTTTTTTTAAAAAAAGCTTTAAAGAAATTCTAAAAGTTAACACTGAATGTATATTAGTACACCCTTTATGGAAAACAGTATGGAGATTTCTCAAATAACTTAAAATGGAACTACCATTCAATCCAGCATTCACACTACTGTGTATCTACCCAAAGGAAAAGGAATCGTTCTATCAAAAAGACACCTGTACTTATATGTTTAGAGTAGCACTATTCACAATAGTAAAGATATGGAATCAATCTAAGTGTCTATCAACGGATATTCAGATAAAGAAAATGTGGTGTATATACACAATTGAATATTATTTAGCTATAAAAAGAACGAAATCATATCTTTTGTAGCAACATAGATGAAACTGGAGGCCATTATCTTAAGTTAAACAACTCAGACACAGAGTCCAGTACCACGTATTCTCACTTATAAGTGGGAGCTAAATAATACACACACATGAGCATAGAGTGTGGAATGATAGACATTGGAGACTCCAAAGGTTAGGAATGTGGGAGTGGAGTAAAGTACGAGAAATTGCTTAAAGGGTACAAGTACATTATTCAGGTGATGGATACAACAAAAGCCCAGATTTTACCATTAAGCAATATATCCATGTAACAAAACTGCACTTATATCCCTTCAATTTGTACAAATTTTTAAAAAGAAAGAAAAGAGAGTGTTATCTATATTCAGACACTAGAATCGACTGCATTCATAACATATTTCATGAATGGAAAGATGGACAGGACTAGACTGGCTAAATATTCATCAGGAATATTATAGGAAAGATTCCCACATTATGTAGCAAGTTTGAAAGGCATCTAAAGTTGTTTTTGAGACGTTCTTAGCCGAGCGTCGTCGGGGTTTCCTGCTTCAACAGTGCTTGGACGGAACCCGGCGCTCGTCCCCCATCCTGGCCGGCCGCCCACAGCCAGCCCTCCGTCACCCCTTCACCGCGTCCTCTGACCGCCCCAAGGCCCCTGCGGCCGCTCCAGCGCCACGCAGCCACCGCCGCCGCCGCCACCGCCTGTCCTTAGCCTCCGCCATGACGACCACGTCCACCTCGCAGGTGCGCCAGAACTACCACCAGGACTCAGAGGCCGTCATCAACTGCCAGATCAACCTGGAGCTCTACGCTTCCTACGTTTACCTATCCATGTCTTACTACTTTGTTTTTTTGTTTTTGTTTTTGTTTTTGTTTTTTTATTATACTTTAAGTTCGAGGGTACATGTGCATAACATGCAGATTTGTTACATATGTATACTTGTGCCATGTTGGTGTGCTGCACCCATCAACTCGTCAGCACCCATCAACTCGTCACTTACATCAGGTATAACTCCCAATGCAATCCCTCCCCCCTCCCCCCGCCCCGTGATAGGCCCCTGTGTGTGATGTCCCCCTTCCCGAGTCCAAGTGATCTCATTGTTCAGTTCCCACCTATGAGTGAGAACATGCGGTGCTTGGTTTTCTGTTCTTGGGATAATTTGCTGAGAATGATGGTTTCCAGCTGCATCCATGTCCCTACAAAGGACATGAACTCATCCTTTTTTATGGCTGCATAGTATTCCATAGTGTACATGTGCCACATTTTCTTAATCCAGTCTGTCACTGATGGACATTTGGGTTGATTCCAAGTCTTTGCTATTGTGAATAGTGCTGCAATAAAGCATACGTGTGCATGTGTCTTTATAGCAGCATGATTTATAATCCTTTGGGTATATACCCAGTAATGGGATGGCTGGGTCATATGGTACTTCTAGTTCTAGATCCTTGAGGAATCGCCATACTGTTTTCCATAATGGTTGAACTAGTTTACAATCCCACCAACAGTGTAAAAGTGTTCCTATTTCTCCACATCCTCTCCAGCACCTGTTGTTTCCTGACTTTTTAATCATCGCCATTCTAACTGGTGTGAGATGGTATCTCATTGTAGTTTTCATTTGCATTTCTCTGATGGCCAGTGATGATGAGCATTTTTTCATGTGTCTGTTGGCTGTATGAATGTCCTCTTTTGAGAAATGTCTATTCATATCCTTTGCCCACTTTTTGATGGGGTTGTTTGTTTTTTTCTTGTAAATTTGTTTGAGTTCTTTGTAGGTTCTGGATATTAGCCCTTTGTCAGATGAGTAGATTGCAAAAATTTTCTCCCATTCTGTAGGTTGCCTGTTCACTCTGACGGTAGTTTCTTTTGCTGTGCAGAAGCTCTTTAGTTTAATCAGATCCCATTTGTCAATTTTGGCTTTTGTTGCCGTTGCTTTTGGTGTTTTAGACACGAAGTCCTTGCCCATGCCTACCATGATGATGCGGCTTTGAAGAACTTTGCCAAATACTTTCTTCACCAATCTCATGAGGAAAGGGAACATGCCGAGAAACTGATGAAGCTGCAGAACCAACAAGGTGGCCGAATCTTCCTTCAGGATATCAAGAAACCAGACTATGACAACAGGGAGAGCGGGCTGAATGCGATGGAGTGTGCTTTACATTTGGAAAAAAATGTGACTCAGTCACTACTGGAACGGCACAAACTGGCCACTGACAAAAATGACCCCCATTTGTGTGACTTCATTGAGACACATTACCTGAATGAGCAGGTGAAAGCCATCAAAGAATTGGGTGACCACGTGACCAACTTGCGCAAGATGGGAGCATCCGAATCTGACTTGGCAGATTATCTGTTTGACAAGCACACCCTGGGAGACAGTGATAATGAAAGCTAAGCCTCAGGCTAATTTCTCCATAGCCATGGGGTGACTTCCCTGGTCACCCAGGTAGTGCATGCATGTTGGGGTTTCCTTTACCATTTCTATAAGTTGTACCAAAACATCCACTTAAGTTCTTTGATTTGTACCATTCCTTCAAATAAAGAAATTTGGTACCCCCAAAAAATAAATAAATAAATAAAAATAAAGTTGTTTTTATTTAAATTGGAACAGAATTAATCACGCTAATAAATGTTTCTGCTCTGATTTAAACTGTAGATTAGGACACCAATTCTGAGATAGCATTGATTGTTTATAATAGTTTATCTATCAACCTTTTTGTTTTGATAAAACAGAGGAATAAATAAACTCCTATAAAAATGATGGGTCACTAGAGAGTGGTTTTCAACAGAATGGGGAGTACATCAGAATCTCTTAAAATGTGAGTGGAGTCATGTACAGTGTATAGTTTAGGGGAAAAAAAATGATGGTTCTGCTGCACTCATTGAGCTGGACATGTCTCTGCATTTATTTATTGGCCTAAATCAAGGCTATCCTTTTAAAAAAATCTAATGATTATCCTTTTAAAATGAACTGAAACACTTGATTTTTGGAGGGAGGGGATCTTCAACCTTCTGTATGGTTCCTTATTTTTTCACTTTGGATAAGATTTAACGAGTACTAATAGTGATAATGAATGGAAGTGCTTTCCTAAATCACTTTCTTTTTAGAAGTAAAACATTATTCAAAAGAAAGCTTAATGTTATTTAAATGATTCTTAAAAACTAACAATTATTTAAGAGAAATTAAGAAATTTAAGTTTTTTCATTTGCTTATTTAACGTTAGGTGGAAAGGGAGGAAAGGAAGGAAAAAAGGAAATAACTTACCAAAACTATTTTAAGAAAAGTTAGAAAACCTGAATAGCTGTATAAATGTTAAATCAAATAAAACAAAAATAAAATATTTTCACACACACACAAACAAAAACAGAAAAATACCAGGCTCAGATTTTTTTTAAAAAATGAGTTCTACTGAACAGTTAAGGAACAATTAATTCTAATCTATACTATAAACTATACTACAGTATAGAAAAGTAACATAATTCCCATCTTGTTTCAGAAACTCAGCATAACCTTGATAATAAATTTTGACAAAGACATTATAAGAGAGGAAAATTATGAGACTAACAAATAATTACAGATGAAAAAGGTGCTAAAGAAAGTATTAGTAAACCAAATATGGCAATGTACAAAAATCATAATAACTCATGACCTAATGAGTCATATTTTGGGAATGCAACATTGATTTAACATTAAAAATTAATCAGATTAAAAAAGAAAAGCCATATAATCACCTCAACCTATTTTTAAAAATTAGACAAAATTCAACATCTGTTAAATATTGTTAGTTAAACCCTGGCAAATTAGAAATACAAAAGAATTTCTTAACATGAAAGAGAATAACTACAAATAACAAAGCAATCCTACCATTACATTGCAAAGGGTGAAATTATTTCTTTCAAACTTAGGGAGAAGAGTTCTTGCTTTTCTCAATTTTATTAACATTGAATTAGAGGCATAGGCAGTACAGTGAGGCAAGAACAATAAATAAAAGAAGCCAGACATGGAAAAAAAAGAAATAGAAAGTCATTATGTAGAGATGACATGGTTTTGTACATAGAAATAAAAAATAATCAAAAGACATTATAAGAATTAATGAGAGGTTAGCAATATGGTGAGACATATAACTTAATACTATTTCTATATATCAGCAACCAAACGTTAGAAAATACAATCTGTAAACCAGACACCACTTGGAAAGAACATTAAAAAATCTTTCTCAGAATCTATCTAATAAAAGTTGCACAGTTTTAAAATATGATTGCAAAATTGACAACCTTCCCATCCTGAGGAGGGATCTATGCCTTCTTCCTTGAATCTGGGCTCTGCAACTGCTTGACCATCAGAATCTGGTGAAAGTGATACTATGCCAGTTTTCAAATGCAGGTCTCAAAGAAACTGGCACCTCCATTTCTCAGGATGCTGGCTCTTAGAACTCAGTACACCTTGCTGCAAGGAAATGCCTACCAACCTGTGTAGAGAGACCACAGGCAGAGACCTGTAACTGCATGAAGTATGATGTCTGGCTATGTTTCAACTGCTGGACATTCCTCCTTCCCCATCATCCTTACCCCATCCAGCATCAGCCACCATCTCACTTCAACCATGAGAAAGATCTGGAGCCACAACTGCCAGTTGAACCCCAACCACAGAAACCATAAGGGGCAATAAGATGATTTTTATTGTTTTTAAGTCAGTAAGTTTTGGGATGATTTGTTACACCAACAATAAATAATTAGAGATATCTCTATGGTGAAATTTTAAAATTTTGCTGACAACATAGATCCAATGCAACTGCACCAAAATCTCAACAATCTTTGTTGGTGGTGCTCCTTAAGAACAAAGTGGGGTCTTTTCATATATCAAGAATTATTTTGAAGTTATAATAGTTCAGTGTGGTATTGGAGTAGACATAACAAATTCACTAAAACAAGGAAGAGCTCAGAAGCAGAATCACACGAATACGAAAAATTTCAATATGCTCTAAATCACATTGCAGACTGGTTGAGAAAGAAGAGCATTTTCAATAAAGGTTGTGAGGACATTTGTTATTCGTGATGGAAAAGAAAGTGGACCTATACCTCACACCATATGCAACCAGCATTTCCAGGTGGAATAAAGACTTATCTATGAATGATAAAATTATAAACTTTTAAGATACGTTATAGGAGACTTGCATTACAACAGTCTACTAAGAATTCTCCCAATGCATTAAGAACTTCTGTAAAACCTTAAGAAAAAGACAGACAACTCAAGAGAAAAATGAACAAAAGTTATGGGCAGGCACATCATAAAAGAGAAAGCCCAAATTGTCATTAAAATCTTAAGAAACCTAAAGAGAGTGAATTTTACTGTATGCAAATTATACCACAACAAACAAACCAAAATAAAAATGTGAAAAATATGACCCTTATGAGTAATCTTGGAAATACAATTTAAAATCACAATCAAAACATTTCTCACTACCAAATCAGCCAAGAAATAAAAATTCCAATAAAATAAAGTTTTGGCAAAGATATGAAGCAAATGGAACATCTATGTACTGCTGGTAGGAATACAAATTAGCACAATTTTGGAAAACAATTCAATGTTAATAAGCTACGGATGGCACAGCAATTCCTCTGCTGGTTTTACACCCTAAAGAAATTCCTACAAATGGGCACCAGAGTTATGTAAGAGAATGTTGTAGCACTGTGTGAAATAGCAAGATTCTAGAAATAACTCCAATTTACCAATAGTAAACTAGCTAAATATATTGTGGAAACCAATAACGTAAAATATACATCAGTGGGAAAATCAAGGAACTAGATTCACAATAGTCTATAGGCAGTACGAGACCATTTATATATAATTTAAAATCATACAAAACAATGCTATGCTTTATTTAGTAATAGATATATTGTAAAGACACAAGATGTGTATGTTCATTGCAGCACTATTCCCAATAGCAAAGATATGAAATCAGTCTAAATGCCCATCAATGATAGACTGGATAATGAAAATGTGGTACATATACACCACGGAATCCTAAAGTGCTGTAAAAAAGAATGATATCATGTCTTTCGCAGGGAAATGGATGGAACTGAAGGACATTATCCTTAGCAAACTAACACAGGAACAGAAAACCATATACCTCATGTTCCACTTATAAGCAGATGCAAAATGAGAACACATGGACACATAGAAGGGAACAACACACACTGGGGCTTATGAGAGGGCGGAGAATGGGAGGAGGGAGAGGATCAGGTAAAATGACTAATGAGTACTACGCTTAATACCTGGGTGATAAAATAATCTCTACAACAAACCCCCATGACACAAGTTTACCTATGTAACAAACTTACACATGTACCTCTGAACTTAGAAGTTAAAAGAAGAGAGAGAAAAATACATTTTAAAGAGTCATTTAACCGGTTACAAGATGGTCGAATAGGAACAGCTCCAGTCTACAGCTCCCAGCATGAGCGACACAGAAGATGGGTGATTTCTGCATTTCCAACTGAGGTACAGGGTTCATCTCAGTGGGGCTTGTCGAACAGTGGGTACAGTCCACGGAGTGCGAGCCGAAGCAGGTCGGGGCATTGCCTCACCTGGGAAGTACAAGGGGTTAGGGAATTCCCTTTCCTAGCCAAGGGAAGCCATGACAGACAGTACCTGGAAAATTGGGACACTCCCACCCTAATACTGCACTTTTCCAACAGTCTTAGCAAACGGCATACCAGGAGATTATATCCTGCGCCTGGCTCAGAGGGTCCCATGCCCATGGAGCATCACTCACTGCTAGCACAGCAGTCTGAGATCAAACTGCAAGGCGGCAACAAGGCTGGGGGATGGGTGCCTGCCATTGCTGAGGCTTGAGTAGGTAAACAAAGCGGCTGGGAGGCTCAAACTGGGTGGAGCCCACCACAGTTCAAGGAGGCCTGCCTGCCTCTGTAGACTCCACCTCTGGGGACAGGGCACAGCTGCACAAAAGGCAGAAGAAACTTGTGCAGACTTAAACGTCCCTGTCTGACAACTTTGAAGAGAGTAGTGGTTCCCCCAGTACAGAGTTTGAGATCTGAGAATGGACAGACTGCCTTGTCAAGTGGGTCCCTGAACCCCAAGTAGCCTAACTGGGAGACACCTCCCATTAGGGGCCGACCGACACCTCATACAGCCAGGTGCCCCTCTGAGACAAAGCTTTCAGAGGAAGCATCAGGCAGCAACATTAGCTGTTCTGCAATATTTGCTGTTCTGCAACCTCTGCTGGTGATACCCAGGCAAACAAGGTCTGGAGTGGACCTCCAGCAAACTCCAATAGAACTTCAGCTGAGGGTCCTGACTGTTAGAAGGAAAACTAACAAACAGAAAGGATATCCACACCAAAACCCCATCTCTATGTCACCATCATCAAAAACCAAAAGTAGACAGAACCACAAAGACAGGGAGAAACCAGAGCAAAAAAGCTGAAAATTCTAAAAATCAGAGCACCTCTCCCCCTCCAAAGTAATGCAGCTCCTCGCTAGCAACAGAACAAAGTTGGATGGAGAATGACTTTGACGAGTTGAGAGAAGAAGG